TGTGTGTGTGTGTGTGTGTGTGTGTGTGTGTGTGTGTGTGTGTGTGTTTTTAGATCTTTTAAAACTGAAGTAATTCAGATGCCAACACTGCTACAAAGACGGGTCATGTTGAGTTCTAGTAACATTTATAGAATAGGCTATCAGCACTTAAGAGCCTTTTCAAAGCAACATGAGACAATTAACAAAGCTTCTGATACATTAAATAGTCTGTGGCTGGATTGCAGGAAGGGTTTACACAATTAATCAGAATTTTATTGAAATCACAATAATAAGGAGGCGATTGAGACAAAGTAAAGTGACAAATCATATCGCGATTGCAATGTCAGTCCAAAAAATTGCAATTACAACATTTTTGGGTGGTCAAAAACACTGCAAGCGCAACACTTCCTGCCTGCTTTTCACAGCAAAAGCCTTCCAGCAAATAAAACGGTTCATGGCTTTTATTTTTGAACCAGCCACATGAGACTTAGAGGGATAGCAGACGGTTGGAAGTAGAAGTCTGAAGCTGTATTTGTACACTTGAACTGCAGTTTTGTTGGTTTTCCACCCGGGAACAGCAGTGAAGGACGGCAAACAGCTGCCCGTGCTCGTTCAGTTTAAGCATTTATCAAACATCCAACACACAGAATCGAGCTAACGGATAGAAGGGCTTTCTGGGGAATCAGTGATCAAACACACAGCGATCTCCAGGCTAGAACCAGCGAACCTTCAGCACAGAGTTTGTAGAGCTGGCTGTTCCTCATGAGGGCGGTGCTGTCAACAGTGGGCCAGTGCTCCCGGCTGTTTTGCCCGTAGATGGAAATTGGAGACTTTTCAGCACAACAATCTTTTTTTAGCAGCAAATCCAAGTCTATTGAAAGCCAGGTGATCTCAGCAATGAAACAGCAAAGCATGCGTGTCAAACATATTTACAAAACTGAGACGTCCAGACGACGAATACGGAAAAGACGGAAAAGGTTTGCACACTAGATGATGCAACCATAAACATATATTTATATTAAAGCATCAAGCTCACTCCAGATAATACACACAGAGGTATGAACTGTGTGTGTTTACCTCCCGGTGCTTTGGCCTCTGCTCACAGTTCAGTTAGTTGCAGGTCGACTCTTGTTTTGTCCAAACAGTACTTTATGTATTTGCATTGCAGGACAAGCAAAAAACCAAACATTCCTGTCATGTAATTATATCGTTAACAATTTCTTAATTCATCACTTTGATTCATATTCATCCGATATTGAGATTTAGATGGATGTGCGTGGCGTAGCTGTTTACTCGTATCACTCACCTCGGCTTAATATCAGCTCACCTCAACAAAACATATCGACTGCGTCTGCTTGAAATTCCTGTTTTGTATCTATGTAACACGGCGGTGTAGCACTAAAAATAACGTTAAAAGTTAGTAAGTTTATAGTTTGTGATCCATTGAAATCAGGTTTACTTTGTACATTGTAATACTTTAGGGTTTGTATTTAATCAGATTTAAGTGTTCATCACACAGATGCGGTTCTGTTGTGCTGTTCCAGTTTTCTTCCTGCTCTCCTCTTTGTTTTTCCTACCTCCTCTTTCATAATGCCACTCTGCTCCTCCCTCACACACGCACGCACGCACGCACGCACACACACAGTCTCCTCCCCCCATCTCATTCCTGGAAGAGCCCTTCTTTCTTTTTCTGCTTGTTTTCGAGGAAGATGAACGCTGATAAACACAGTCAATGTAAACACACACACACACAAAGTTCAGACAGAGCCCCGGGGGTCGTCAGTGATGCCAGTGTTTCAGACAAGTTGACATTTCCCACCGTGTGTGTGTGTGTGTGTGTGTGTGTGTGTGTGTGTGTGTGTGTGTGTG